TCTTTTCAAACTCAGAGGGGTAAAAGGGTTAACTTCTCAGATATGAGGGGACATGTGAGGAAGAAACTGAAAGGAAAAGTAGAAAGGGTCAAAAACCATTGGGGAAGCTTGGAGGCTATTTAAAACTACAATGCTAGAAGCTCAAAAATACATATATATACCGCGGGTTAGTAAAGGCACAAATAGGTATAGGAAAAAGCCTGCATGGTTAACAAACAAAGTACGTAATGGAAGCTGTAAAAGGTAAGAAGGATTCCTTTAAGCGGTGGAAAGCTAGTCTCAGTGAGGCTGATAAAAGGGAACACAGGCTGTGGCAAATAACATGCAAGTCTGTGATCAGACAGGCAAAAAGGGAATATGAAGAGCATATAGCAAAAAACATAAAGACCAACAATAAAACTTTCTTCAAATTCATTAGAAGCAGGAAACCAGTCAGGGAGGCAGTGGAGCCCTTGGATGACCAAGGGGTAAAAGGAGTACTGAAGGATGATAGGGAAATGGTTGAGAAGCTGAATGCATTTTTGCCTCTGTCTTCACTGTGGAAGATGAGAAGTGCTTGCCCACTCCAGAACCGCTGATTTAGGGAGGGGTGTTGAAAGACCTGAGTCAGATTGAAGTGACGAGAGAGGAGGTCCTATGACTGATAGACAGCTTAAAAACTGATAAATAACCAGGCCCAGATGGCAAACATCCAAGAGTTCTGAAAGAACTCAAATGTGAACTTGTGGATTTCCTGACAAAAATACGTAATCTTTCATTAAAATCTCTCTCCATTCCTGAGGACTGGAAGGTAGCTAATGTCACTCCCATCTTTAAAAAGGGTTTCAGAGGAGATCCGGGAAATTACAGGCCAGTCAGTCTGACATCGATACTGGGTAAGCTGGTGGAAACTGTTATTAAGGAAAGAATTAGTAGGCACATTGATGAACAAAAACTATTGAGGCAGACTCAGCATGGGTTCTGTAAGGGAAGATCTTGTCTCACTAACCTGTTAGTGTTTTTTGAGTGAGTGAACAAACATGTGGACAAGGGGGACCCAATAGATGTTGTTTACCTTAACTTCCAGAAAGCTTTTGATAAAGTTCCTCATCAAAGGCTCCTAAGTAAGCTCAATAGTCATGGGATAAAAGGACAAGTCTTCTTGTGGATCACAAACTGGCTAATTAATAGGAAACAGAGAGTGAGTATAAATGGGAAATTTTCTCAGTGGAGGGTGGTAAGCAGTGGGGTACCGCAGGGATCAGTATTTGGTCCGATGCTTTTTAACTTGTTTATTAATGATTTAGAGTTGGGAGTAAGTTTCAATGAAAATGTCTTGACAGTGTGCAACTGCAATTAAAAAGGCCAACACTATGCTGGGGATTATTAGGAAGGGAATTGAAAATAAATCAGCCAGTATCATAATGCCCCTGTATAAATCAATGGTGCGACCTCATTTGGAGTACTGTGTACAGTTCTGGTCACCACACCTCAAAAAGGATATTATAGCATTGGAAAAAGTGCAGAAAAGGGCAACTAGAATGATAGAAGGGTTGGAGCACCTTTCCTATGAAGAAAGGTTAAAACGATTGGCACTCTTTAGCTTGGAGAAACGACGGCCGAGGGGTGACATGAGGTTTATAAGATTATGCATGGGATAGAGCAGGTCGAGAAATAAGTACTTTTCTCCCTTTCTCACAATACAAGAACTCGTGGGCACTCCATGAAATTGCTGAGCGGTCGGGTTAGAACAGATAAAAGGAAGTACTTCTTCACTCAAAGAGTGATTAACACATGAAATTCACTGCCACAGTAGGTGGTGGCAACTACAAGCATGAACAGCTTCAAGAGGGAATTAGATAAGCATATGGAGCAAAAGTCCATCAGTGGCTATTAGCCACAAAGTATAGATAGGAACTCTCAGACTGGGGCAAGAGATGCCCTGTATTCTTGGTGCTTGGGGGGGCAACAGTGGGAGGGCTTCTAGTGTCTTGGCCCCACTGCTGGACCTCCTGATGGCACCTGGCATTTTTGGCCACTGTGTGACAGAGCGTTGGACTGGATGGGCCATTGGCGTGATCCAACATTGGCTTCTCTTATGTTCTTATCTTCTTATGAGCTTGCTTTGATCTTCCAGGCTCTTCCATGGCATTGAGTGATGGGATGGGATCCTTCTGCATAATCTAGTAGTTCAAAACTAATATCTTGCCCACCTTCTGGCAGAACAAGTGCTATTGTGATGGTAACGGGAGGGAGCTTCTGCCAGGTTAATAATCGCAGGTGCTTTGGATATTTTTTTTCAATGAAAAAAGGAATACAGAGACCCAAGGTTAGCATTTTATTCTAAGTATAGGTTTTCTTGTTCTAGTTGGCCTAAGCGGACCTAATAGAACCTTTAAATGTTTATCTAGAAAATCACACCATTTTTGTTTTTTTAACATTCAGATGGGGTCCAGTGACCAGTCTGGGAGCACAAGATGCTGCAGCATTACTGAAGCTAAGTGGATGCTAGGATTCTGGGTGCAGACTGGGATAAGACCTCCTCCCCCCTCTAGACCTTGTCATATTTAAAACCAAGGAAAGGGCTGGATCCCACATAAAATCTTTGCTAACAGAAAGAATTTCTGCACCTCACCCTTCCCACTGCAACCCACAATGCCCCCCCCCTCAATGCTGCTCCCGGTGGACAAAGAAACTTCAGGAACAGTGTGGAAGGGGAGTCAGAGGTCTGCCATGGAAGAGGGTAACTGGCAAAAATCCCCGCCCCCTCCATTAGTGGACATTTTCCAGCTAGCTGTGACCCCAAGTCAGGATATCCGGAAAAAAGTCACAAGCCCCTCATCCGAGAGGAAACTACATTAAGGGAACCGGCAGAACTGGGAAGCAGGAGCCACCCCCAAACTGAACCAGTCTATCTCTGGAAACCCCCACAGCCCCAAGAATGGCACAGGCAGCAAGACCATGCAGAAACTCGATCCAGAAGACTGAATGCAAGACGAGTGCTTTACGGCATCCTTTCACAGAGTCCTAGTAGGGAGGAGGGAACTGAACACTCAAGTCTTGCCAGGCTCAGTGACTGCAGGAAAGGTGGGGTAACCAGGCTGTAAGTTTGAAGCCTGACCGTTGTTTGTAAAACATCCCCTTAGACCTGCTCTTGCCTGGACAGCTTCTTTTTGTTTGTGTTGTATATTTTACATGTGTATGTGTGTGAGAGGGGGGGGGGACTGGAAGTCTGGTGACTGAACCCTACTGGGGGCCTAAAGGATATTCAGAGAGGGGTTGAATAAAGTCTGTCCCTGCCTCCCAACTGCTGGTATTCCTTGGAGGTCTCCCATCCAAGTACTTGCCAGGGTCGGCCCTGCTTAGCTTCCGAGATCTGACAAGATCGGGCTTGCCTGGGCTATCCAGGTCAGGGCTCCTGGATGGCTCCTTTGGTACCCTGTTCCTTTTTTCCAGGCTTGATTCTTCCCCATCTTCCAGATCCTTGGACAGCTCCTGTGCTGACTGCTGCTTAGCCATCAGCCAATAAGCCTTGTTACCCAAACTGATGGAGCTGCTTTGAGCCTGCTGGACATGGAACTAGGACAGTGAGTGTGAACCTGGCCAGCAATCTGGACGGCAGGCCTCTGCAAGTCCCATGTCGGAGCAGGATATACCTATCACTAATATGGATTTGGAGTTTTTGAAACCCTTAATGAATGTAGATACCAAAAGCCCCTGAATGCCTGCTCTCTAAGAATTTTAGCAAATAGCATTTTCCTGTGAGTCAGGCGTGTTTTAAAAGGTGGAAGCCAAGATCTTCAATATGCTGCATTAATCTGATTAATCTGGCACAACTACCTGTTGTGGCAGATTTTCTGAAGCTGTTGCTTTAGTGAGTTCAGGACAGTACTCACTGTCAGAAATACTTTAACACTTCAGCTCTGTATGTTAAAAGCCAGGTGTGAAGAGGCAGAATTTTCTACAAAACAGAACATGCAGTTCGTTTCAACTGTACAAAAATTCAAAATGCCTTGCTGTTGAAAAATTAGCTGAGCTGCACAAGCTAACCCATTACTCCACACTCACAATGAGTCTGGCCATAAGGACCAAATGGATTCAGGAAGCCCAGAGGTAGACTAAAGTGGTACCCAACTGATGCTGGTTGCCAAGCAACAGAAGCAGCCAACGATGATGTCTGGTTAAAAACTCCCCACCTCCCCTTTTATTTTAAAAAGGGTGAAATAAACAACACTGATTACTAAATTACTACGGAGGATTTTTCCCTCCCCTCCCCCCTTATTTTTTCTGAATCCTTCCAATGCCAAACGCAAACAGCTGCTGTGACTATTAGAAAGATGGAAATTAAAAGATGAAAACAACATCCTGTGCCCCTAAACTATTCTGAAGCTGAATACTGCTTTGCCAAGATTTCTTATCGTTTTCCCTGTAAAGAAACACTTCAAGACTTCTCAAGTGGAACGGCCTTGAGCAGAAAGGTGGCATTAAAAATGTTTTAAATAAATAAATAAAGCCCAGGCAAATTGGTTGGCTTAAAGACATAGCTTTGTCCATCTTTGTACCAGGTGGGCCACTGAGCCCAATCGCCTTGGCCAAACTGGGCAGCAGAAAGGCTCCCCATCTCCATTTGCCACATTGTTTCCTGAAGATGTTTATAAATGGGGTGCTTGTTACTGACAAGGGATCAGAAATGAATATATTTCTCATTGTATTTTATAGCTCCAGCATCAGTGTGTCTTGGTTGTGGTATCTCAGGACAAGAGCCTCCTTCTTCTTGGGCCTCACACTTGGGGTCACTTATCTGTACAACTGCAGGACACGCTGGCCAAACATACAAGGCAAGCGTCCTCAAAAAGTCAGGCCATTGGGCAACATCTGTTCTTCAGAGGTCTCTCCCAGCACTTGCTCTCCTAATGATATTGAACCTGGAATCTTTTGCATGGAAGGTGTATGCCCTGCCACTGACCTATCCCCCCAGCACTTCCCAAGAAACCACTGGATAAGAAGTTTGCTTTATTCTTTATTGCATTGCATTAATTTAAGAAAATGTTAGGAATTGTTTACATGTAGTAAAAGTGTTTACCAAAATAGTTTGCACAGAAAGGGGAAGGTAAAGAGGGCACAGTACAGAAGGAACAAGCAACTCACAGCACAGAGAACCTGCAAAGGCAAAACCACTGCAGGGAGACATTCTTTGTGGGTGACATTATACCCAGCTTGTAAGGAGCTTTAGAAATGCAAGGGAGTGGCTGGAACCCTGAAATAAGAGTCCTTAACAAACAACTGGCTGGACAGAGCTACAACAATCACTTTAACAATAACTTAAGCTCTAGAAGTAACTGTTCATTAAACTGTCCGGTGGCCCGCTCCCCATCATCCAGCACCTAAGTGCTCATACAGCCCTGGTTCCTGGGGGGTTGCTGGTATTCATCTTATGATTCTACACATGCAAGATACCCAAGAACTGTGGCTATCGGAGCTCAGACACCATAAGTTCAAGAAACAGCAGCATTTGGACGGCATGACAAACCGGCACAGCTTTCAGCTGTGGTCCCACAAAGCACAACTCAAAGTTTCCTGGCTTGGGAACCCTTGGATCAAGCTCCAGTCTTGGTAACATCAGGATGTGGGCACCGGGGCAAATTGGAGTTGTTTCCTCCCCATAAACCAGTTGGTATTAGCTTTAGAATCCCAGTTGGTGGGGGGGGGGGGGGACTGACACTGGCAAATTGGAGCTTGTTTCAAGGTTTCCTTAACCAGGAATTCTTTAATCATGCGCCACGTGTGAGAGGAGGTTTGCCATGACGCCCCAATACGACTAGTGTGCATTTCTGCTGGTCAGATCGGGGGCTCTGAGGTGGCTGCCTGTCCAAAACAGGGTGGTAGGAAATTAATTATCCACTCTCTGTAGACTACCTAGGAATGGAAAATGCTAGGAAGTTTGCAGCTCCAGATCCAGGTTCCCTCCTGTCCCTGCCTGGCTTCAGTCTATTTCCAGGTCACTGTCCTCACTGTAGCACGAGGAGGCCTGGCAGATGGATGCGAGAAGCACCAAGTCCTTTTCTGGGAGCAGGCCACACTCTTGCAGGAACGCCTCCAAGTCCACTGCAAAGAAGTCTTCGCCCAGCTGGTCGGTGATACGCACAAAGTTGCCAATGAGCTCCCCGCCCTTGTAAACCAGAAGGGTTGGCAGTGCGTTGTTGGTGAAGTGAGCGCTAGCACCAATCAGGGAGCTCCTCACCCGGCAGAACTTGACCGCGGAGTACTCAGCAGCCAGGCAGATCATGCAGCCATTGAGGGCTTCAGCCCCAGGGACGTCATCCTCGTAGATGTGGATCATCACCAGCGTATTCTTGTGCCCCTTGTCGATGGTGTCCAGGAAGGCCTCCCCACTGGGGATCTCAAACACCTGCTTGAACTGCTGCCCGCTCTGCAGCTGCCGTCGCATCTCTTCCATCCGCTGCTTACGATACTGCTGCAGGAACTCTTCATCATCGGCACCCTCGTGCAGCATGCTGTACTCCTGTAGAGTAAGCTAGGACAAATGATGGGGGGG